AAAAAAAAAAAAAAAGAAGAAGAAGAAAGAAGGTTAATAAAGAAGAAGAAGAATAAATAAGCCAATGAAATGGACACACAAAAAAGGAAACCCCGACGACGACAGAAGTGATGGTTCCAGAGGAGACGCTGCATTGCTGGGAGCACAGCAGCGTCCCCCCAGGGCGCTTTTTTGGGTTGTTTTGCTTTAAACTTGTTGCAATGTTTGCATGCTGTCTCCAGAGGCCTTTTTTTCCAGTCCTGTCCAGTGCTTTATTCTCATGTAATGCTACCGACTGTGAGATTAAAACTGTAATAAAACCATTCCATACGGAACGCGGCACATCCTGCCTGCCAGACCCCTCTGTCACTCATCCCCTGCACCCATCCCATAGGGGACAAGGACCCCCTGTCACAGTCCCCTTATCCTGGGCATGGTGGGGGTGGCTCTGGCCTGAGAACTGATGAGCTCGTCACAGCGATGCCCTCACACTGGGTGTAGGAATGGAGTCCAGATGCATGGAGGGGGTGGCACAGCGCTGTGATGGGGTCTGATGCTGTAGGGTTTCGTTTCTCCTGGACTAACCCTGTCCATTCCCCCCCCCCTCCACCCCCTCCAAGTTCTTCACATCGCCTATAAGCAGCTTTACTTCTCGGGCTTACGAAGATTAAAGTCATTTTCAGGCAAAGCCAGCAAGAACGTGGCTTTTGAAATGGAGAGAAAGGCTGAGCATCCTCATGCGGTGGGCTGAAACCAGAGGTAGGACGATATGAGTGCTATCCCTGTCCCCTCATCTTGGGCCACCAATCAGCTCCAGCACCAGGGCGACCCCCACCTCCAAGCACTGTTTTCCCTCTCTCTGCTCTTTGCCTCCACCTCCAGGAACGCTCTTTGGTTCCCTTCACAACAGCAAAGGGGCTGGGTGGGATCCATCAGCTTGGGGGGCAGGGGTTTGGATTGGAGATCTCCCCGGTGGGAAGCAGGGCTGTGAGCTGCTGATCCCTGCCCCGTTGCACTGCTGGCGGCGATCCCAGCTTGGCTCAGCATCCCCCCATCTGGCTGGGGTGCCTGCTGCGGGCAGCAGGGCAGGGTGAGCCCCTGGGACCTGCACTGACGTGTGCAGAGGCTGCAGGAAGCATCGGGTTCGCACACCCTTTGCTTTCCCTTCCCTGCGGTTGGCCTTGCAGGGTCACCAACCCACAGCCAGGGTCACCTCGGTCACACCAACCCTCCCAGCTGCGGATGCTCTCTTCCTGCTGTGCACCTCTCCCTTGGAGCTCTCCAGGAAAGGAGAACTCTGGACAGACCCCCTGTAGGATGATGTCTCCCACATGCACTCCGGATGCCGTGTGCCTTTGCTCGGGGCGCGCACCGACAGCCAAGCGGCACATGGTCTCCCCATGTGCCTGTTTACACGGCTCCGTGTGTCTGTCCCTGTGTATTTGTGTCACTGCTCGGGTGCCACCGCGGCCCCCCCTCGCCTCCCTCACCCCCAGCTGTGGTGATTCCCACGCCTATACGGCTACACCTACAGCAGGAGGTGCACTGCACGGGCTCTTTGCCATCCAATGTCACCGACGTCAAGATATTTAGGTGTTATATACAGGGTGTTGTCTGATGGATGACCTCCACCCTCCTTATCCACCTCGCTTGCCAACAGAGGGCACAGTGGGGCACCCACCACTGGTGGTGGGTCACAAAGGAGGGGATGGCTATGGCCATGGGACCCAGCATAGCTCGAAGCCCAAAGCCTGGTGCTGAGCTCTCCAAGGTCCCCTGTGCTTTCCCACCCAAATCATAGAATCATGGGATGGTCTGGGTTGAAAAGGACCACAACGATCATCTCGTTCCAACCCCCTGCTATGTGCAGGGTCGCCAACCAGCTGCCCAGAGCCACATCCAGCCTGGCCTTGAATGCCTCCAGGGATGGGGCATCCACAGCCTCCTTGGGCAAAGCTTGCTGACATCCCCAGCCTTGCCCCCATGGGTGTCCCTCAGCCCCTGCTGATGCTCCTGGCCTTATCCTCACCGGTCCCTCAGTGTTCCCAGCCTCAGCGTTGGCACCGCCCCGATGGCTGAGCTCCAAAGCCCTGTGCTGCTGTGGCTGTGCCCGTCACACCAAGTGACAGCCGGCGGGGAAGTGTCAGCGTGACTTCACCCGGCAGAGGCTGCCTGCTTTATTTAGCAACGCCGCCTCGTTCCTCCCCCGGTGTATCTCCAGCACACACACACACACACACATCCTTCCAGGACCTACTCATGGCTGCACCTGATGAGCTCAAAGGCCTTTTCCAGCCTGTGGATTGGAATCCAATGATTCCAATCTCGCGCTTGGAGTCTTCAACATTTTCAGCCTTTGCCATCCCCTGCAGGGCTTACCTGGTGTCATCTGTGTGGTGCCACCTGGATTCAGCTCATCCCTGGGAGGGCTGCAGCAGGTAATGGGGTGGTGCAGGATTTGGGTACAGCGTGGGGTTGCACTTGGCCTTGGAGTTGGAAGAGTGACGTCGTAGAAACATCAGCTTGTGTCTGAGCACCTGGCTGGACAGCTAGCAAGGTAATATCAGAGAGAGACATTGTGAAAGGGAGAGAAAGCTCCATAAAATCTACATTGCTTCAAGAGTGGGCCACCGCAGGCAACCCTGGCAAACCCTGCTCCCATCTGGAGAGCTTGCAGGTGAGGAGCTGGGGTCAGTTCTCCACTTACCTGGAAAGAAGAGCCGGGCTGACGTGTGTATGCTGCGAGCAGATCTCATGGCAGAGATATTCAAACCAGGTGCCAAGGCTGAGGAGCGATCCTCTTAGATCCCACCGGCTGCTGCCACGGGGGGACGTCTCGTCTCCCTCCCTCCTAATCCACGGAGATGTGTGATATAGCATAAGCTAATATAATAGGTCATGCGAGGATTTACATCTCATTACTGCAGGTTGGAGTCCTGAGAGGAAGGATGAGTCATTCCAACTGGAATATATTGCAGGGAGAAGCGACGGTGAAAAGCAAATGGAAAAGCAGATGCCTGGAAGCACCACAGTGGGCACAGTTATAACCAGGACCTCCAGTGTCCCTCTGAGTGCCATCTCCGTAAGGACACCGAGCTCAGGGACACAGCAGAGCTGCCGGCCCTCTTTGGAGGTGAGGCTTCCCTGTGCCTTGCAGAAGGCAATGCCCTTTCCTTGGCCTTTTACTTCATCCCTACAAATGCCACCAACACCCCGGGCTGCCAGAGGCTGCAAAGGGCCGTCTCATGGCTCTTGTCCCAGGGGCACATCCATGTCCAAGCTGCCGGGCTCCCCGACCTCCATCCATCATCTCCTCCCAAAAAGCACCAAGGAGCCTCCAGACAGCCGGGAATCGTGTGCTTGTTTTCACCTCACTGCTTTGTCCAAGCAGCTCAGCTCATCAAGAGCTGTTTCCTCTACGTTCCTCAGACAGGGAGGCTACGCGGCAGCTGACCCATCTAATCCAGCTGGAAAAATCGGTCCTGACTTCCAGTCTCTTGCTGTTAACCAAGGCGGGTTGCAGGCGTGCTCCCAGCCCTGCATCCAGGTGCTGCACACCCAAGCAGGTGACACCCACAGGGCTGGATCCTGAGCACCAGCCCTGCTTTCCCAAAAAGCAATCTGTGAGCACAGATCTGGAGAGCTCCATGGCGGAGCAGGGGTGTGGGGGGGTCACCCACAAAGGCCCGTGCTCAAAGCAGAGGGATGGCCAAGCAGAATGCACCAAGATCATGCTGTTTTCCTTTTAAGACCTGGTGCTACGTTGGGCAAAAGGGGGAGGGAGGCAATGCTTCCCTCAACCCCCCCCCCAGCTCACTTTGCTCCATCACTCCACAGCTGTTCCATCATTTTAATCTGCGGAGATTGTCTTTAAATTTCTGAAATGAAATGATTTTCCTACAAGCCGGGATTGGAGCCGGGGTACGCCGTGTATTTTCACGGGAGGAGAAGAAAAGAGGGAGAAATGCACGCTAAAGCCAGGCTGGCCATCTGGAAGGGAGGCGCGTGGAAATGCCGTTAATTGCGCGCTGCCCCCGGGGTTGCGGCCAAAGGGAAGGCAGCAGTAGGAGCGGGGTGGGAAGGGGATGCGGGGCCGTGCAATGGGTGCCTGCGCCTTCCTCAGCTCCGGGGTTGCGGCCGAGGGATGCCAGGTTCGCTCGTCCAAGGCAGCGCTTGCAGGGAGAGGTGGCAGCTTGCATTAGAATTAATTAACATCATTAACAGCGCGCTTCGGGGCGCGCCAGCTCTTGCAGGCTAGGAGCGAGCGACAACTCGAGGGGTGCCAAATCCGGTCCTTTTCCTTCAGGAAAAAGTAAAAAAAAAAAAAAAAAAGGAAAATTAAGAAATAGAACAACGACGAGCAAAAAGGTCTCCCGTGGGTTTGCTCCACCGGGGGGCAGAGCGGGGCAGGGGGAGGGAGGGAAGGATATCAACCAGCGATCCCGATCCCCCTCCGGCTCCACACGACCCCGTGAAGTTTCACCCCTTCCCTCAGCCCTCACCCCCCCCAACAACACCGGGGGGCGGAGCGGCTCCGCCTCTTACCGGGGGGGTCCGCGGGGGTCCGGGCCGGGCGGTGCCGCCCCGCTTCGTTCACACGGAGCTGTCAGCGCCGCGGAGCTGCAGCGCCCGCCGCCCCCAGCGACCCCCGGGCGGAGCGCAGGGCATCCCGGAGCGGAGAGCGGCCGGCGCTGAGCACAGGCTGCCCGGTAAGAAGGGACTCAGGGCACCCCCGGCACCGGGTATCCCCTCGGTCTCACGGCGCACCGGCAGCACAACTCGCGCGGCTCCCCGCTAACTCAGCTCCTTTTCTCCCTGCTCTAGGGTAGCCGCTTCCCCGAGCATCCCATCTCCCCGCTGCTTCCAATACCCGCGTTTCCTCGCTTCCCCGAGCATCCCATCTCCCCTCTGCCCCTGGTACCCACAGCTCCGGTTCCCTGAGCATCCCATCCCTCCGGTCCCCTCGATACCTGCATCTCCCCAGTTCCCTGAACATCCCATTTCGCCGCTAACCCTGCTACTCGTAGCTCCTCGTTCCCTGGGCATCCCACCTCCCTGTTACTCACATCTCCCAGTTCCCTGAGCATCCCGTCTCTCTGCTACTCTCAATACTCGCATCTCTCAGTTCCCTGAGCATCCTATCTCCCCACTACCTCTGGTATCTGCATCTCCTGCTTCCCTCAGCATCCCACCTCCCCGTTACCCACAGCTCCCAGTTCCCCGAGCATCCCATCTCTCCCCTACCCTCAATACCCACATCACTCCAGTGCTCTGAACATCCTCTCTCCCCCTATCTCCAGTTCCTCAGGCATCTTAGTCGCTCCCCCCACCCAAACACCCCAACACCTTCATTTCCTCCATTCTCTGAGCATCCCATCTCCCCGCGGTACCCACATTTCCCAGCACCCCACACCCCGCAGCCATGGCGTTCATGGTGAAGAGCATGGTTGGGGGGCAGCTGAAGAACCTGACGGGTGGCCTGGGAGGCGAGGAGAAGAGCGAGGGTGAGAAGTCCCCAGCAGAGGCTCAAGGCATGACCCGTGAGGAGTATGAGGAGTATCAGCGGCAGCTGGTGGAGGAGAAGTGAGTGCTGGGGGGGGGGGGATGTGGGTTGGGATGAGGTCCCGGAGCTCTCTGTGCATAGGGGAAGACAATGGTGGGGGTGGCAGGGCCAGGACGCTGTTTAATGAACCTCTCCCCCCCCCCTTAATCCCTTAATCCGCTTCCTCGGGGATTTTTTCTCCTTTCTGGCTGTGCAGTGGGGGTAAAAAAAACAAACAAACAAACAACGGGGGGGGATCGGGACTTTGTGAAGAAGATGGGGAATACCTTGTTTGGGGGGGGAGGTGATAAGATGGTGGGGGCACTCATAACTGCCCTGTGTGGTTCACAGGATGGAGCGAGACGCCCAGTTTGCCCAGCGCAAGGCAGAGAGGGCCACGGTCAGGTCCCACTTCCGAGACAAGTATCGGCTCCCCAAGGTATGGCACAGGGAAAATGGGAGGACCGATAGGAACCACTTCCCACAGGGGTTTGTGAGCCCCAGATCCCAAAGCATAACTCCATTCCCCTAAAAAGCACCATTCCATCAGACCCTCCAGCCACCTCTGAGCACCACCAGCTCCACCATCCCAAAGAAGAGGACCCCAACATGCACGCTCATCCCCCAATTCCCCTCTTTTGCCCCCAACCCCATCTCCTTGAGGGACAGCCCCCTCCACTCCAGGCTGCCATCCCCATAGCTGTGAGCAGAGCGTGGCTCCTTCCCCACTGGATCCGCCAGCTCAATAGATAATTTGGCAAACACCTCCGAGATGGATCCCAATTTTGGAACTTCCGCCCCACGAGCGATTCACTGGGAACAATTCAATCAGTGACAATTCAGCTCTTGGAGCTGCCACAAGCGTTCCCCCCTCCCCAAAACACACCCGGCATTCAGTGAGAGCCTTTCTGCAGCTCTCGGTGGTGAATGCTGTGAATTGGAGCCGGGCTAATTTTAGTTTGGAAAGGTCAGCTCAGCCAAGTGATATTGTTCTTATTGCTGGAGATTCTTGGTCCAGCCTGGATGAACGCCCCGCTGCTCCTTGCACCCACATAACTACCAGCAAACAACAGCTGGAGGATCTGTCTTCTGCTGCCAAAAAAGAAGAAAGGCAGAGAAAAAGATGGAGATTTCCTCCAGGGGAAGTGGGGGACTTGCTGAGCTACGGCCCTCGATCCTTTTGCTGCTTCCTCGTGCTTGAGATGTCCCTTCCAATCTTTAGACAAGTTTCTTCTGCTCATTCCTGATCCCGCTTGGCAGTTGGTCTGCCTCTTGCAAGCTCTTCAGCGCAGAGCTGACCCCAATACGCTCGCCGGTGGGCACAGTCGTTAGGCATACGTGTAGCTTAATTGGGTGCCCAAATCTTGGATGGGAGCTGGAAGGCAATTTAGAGCCATGCTGGCTCAATCTTCTTTGCACATCGGCTCTTGCTTTGCTCCCCAGTGCGTGCTGAGCTCTGCTTGGCCACGTCGCCTCCGGGTCATTGAGGGATGGAGCTCATGGGCAGCATCCCACCTGCATGCTAGGGACTGACCCTCAAGACCTTGGGTTGGCTGCCAAAGCCCACGTAGGCACAAGGATGTCAATTCTGGATTGCTGCTACACGAGGTCCCACCACCCCTCGCTTTGACTTTCAGAACGAAACCGACGACAACCAGATCCAGCTGGTGGGAGGCGACGTGGAGCTGCCCAAGGAGCTGGCCAAGATGATCGAGCAGGACAACGAGGAGGAAGAAGAGAAGAACTCCGTCATCGGTCAGCTCAGCAACATCCAGAACCTGGACCTTGACTCCTTGAAGGACAAAGCCTCGGCCACGCTAGAGGACCTGAAGCAATCAGCCGAGAAATGCGCAGTGATGTGACCCAACCGACGCGACACCCTCAGCCTTGCAGCGATGGGGACCCACTGATGTCCGTGTGAGCCGGGTCCTCCTTCTGAGCCGTGTTAAGCCCTGACCCAGATGTCCCCGCTCCGTCCGTGCCGGTATCCCCGTGCGTGGTTTTGTTGTTGGGTTGCGGTCCGGTCTGAGGTTAAGAGCAAAGGGATGGCTTGGCGTCCCTATCTCCCGGGGTGGGATCGGCTCCGTGTGGGAGAAGGGGCAGAAGGTGACCCCATAAGGGAAAACGCTTCCTTCTCTGTCGTGATGTGGTCGTGTGCTGTGCTCAGTCGAGTGTTACACCTCCTATGCTGTCCCCGTGCCACGGCACCGTTATCGCCGCTGGAATAAATACCAGGAGATGTCTATGCATTCCTTTCTCTCACAGTGCTCCCTCCGACATTATAGGTGACGGCGTTTTTCAGTGCTGGCTGGTGGAAGCACCACATTTAGAGCACCTTTGCTGACACCCATGCGGGCTTTGTGCTCAGCGTGCCCAGGAAAAAAAAATAAATAAATCAGCATTCCTCCCCAACTGCAGAGAATTGGACTAAATGACCTTTAAGGTTCCTTCCCAACTTCAATGATTCCATGGATTGGATGGGAAGCCCTTCTTTGGGAAGACACGAGGAGCCACTGTGCCAATGGTGTGATGGCCGGTGCGCTTCCCCCACGCACAGAGCCCCAAATGAGTAATGGTTAAAAGTGGAGAAACAAATGAGCCACCACCCAGGGATGGGGGAATCTCACTGCACGCTTTGGGTTGTTTTCCCTTTTTTTTGTTGTTGTTGTTATTTGCAGTTAATTAAACCTCCTCGCAGGACGCTGCTGGAAGGACAATCGGATTAAGGGGATCATGCAGCAGCACCCCACGTCTCTCTTTCCCTGCGTCTAAGAGGCTTTAGGGGGAGCATCTTAAAACCTGGGGGGGAGCAAAAAAATCACACTGACCCACCTCCCCCAATCCCTTTCAACCCACAGCACTAGGGGGGGAGCACAGCATCACCTCCGTGGCTGCAAGCCTCAATGTCAAGGAGAGCTGGTACAATCTGACCCTAAACCATCCCGACACCAACCCTGGGGACACAGCTCCAGATTGGGGCGCATCTCAGGCAGAGCGTGAAGGCATATGTGATCGTGCTCACTGGCTGCAAGGGCGGGAGGCTTGAAAGCTCTTTAAAGCCTCGGGATATAATCTCTGCTCAGAATAATGCGGCAAAAAAAAATCCCATAAAAAGGTCTCTGCAAGAGGAGGTCACAGCCTGGGGCCCCGCTCTGCGTGGTGGCTTTGGGTGACACCGCTGCCACCACACACATCTGGATGGGATGGCATCCAACCCCTTGGTCTCCCTAAAGGCACGTGGAGAAACCCCCAAATAGTATTTATTCCAGATGATAAATTACATCTCCTGAAATACAGCAGATTTGGAGAACAGCTCCCTGCTCCGCAGCGTCGGTGCGAGGCTCTGCAGGGGCCAGCCCCCAGGGATGAGATTTTTGGTGCATCGTTGCCATCGCAGAGCACAGAGCCTGCCAGCCCCGAGCACTGCAGCACACACAGAGCCAGCCCCTTCCCTGGGGCCTGCAGCTTTTCCCTGCACCTGATTTCCACGGACGGGCTGAGAACTGGCCAGACCTCACGCCACCAATGAGGCACCACCGCTCCCCGTGCAAATCGCTTTAGCATCAGGCACACAGAACAAGCAGCTTCCAACGCTGCCCCGCTCCCAGCAAAGCAAAACCCCGTGCCACAAACCACCAACGATCGGTGCCGTGCTTTTTCTTTTTTTTTTTCCCCCCCCCCGCCTTTCCCCATGGGTCGGGGTGAGCTGCAGGCTGTGCACGCAAGAGCCGCGTGCCTGCACGAAGCAGCAGCAGCCGCCGCCGCGCTGCCCAGCCAGCGAAGGGAATTGGAGTGGAATAACCTGCCCGCCGCGGGCACGCAGGCTGCTGCTGCAGCAGACGTTCCAGGCAGGGACTCCTCCTGACGGGAAAATGCAGTCACGCTCAGCCCAGCCGTCTCCTCGGCCATCTGCAGCGCCGCGGCGCCAGCAGCATCCCGTTGGGCATCACTGCAAGGTGCAAGCTGCGGGGGGGAAAGGACAGAGGGGACGGTCACCTGGCTGGGAGGTCTCTGCAGGCATAGAGCTCATAGATAAAAGGATGTGGGGACTCACAGCTCCGGACGGAGTCTGCCAGAGCTTCTTTGCCCATAGACTGCGCCTCCCGCATCTGCACGGGCAGAGAAACCACCACCATCAGTAGCACAAAGCCACCACCGTCAGCCCCCAAACACCAACGTTTCCTCCAGCTCTACCTTGATCTGATCCTTCAGGTACTCCGCCCGGGCCATCAGGGTCTGGATCTGGCGGACAGACACAGGGAGCTCCGTCAGTGCAGTGTCCCCGTGGGGCTGGCGGGGTTGGGGCAGGTGCTGGGGCTCACCTCCGCATGCAGCAGCTCCCGTCTCCTCCCCGCTGGCTCTGCTGCAGGGTGCGGGCGTGAGGTCACCAGGGCATAGGACTCATCCCCCTGACCTCCCCCCTCCTTCCCAACTCACCAGCCAGGAGTAGCAGCAGCTCTCCCAGGCTCTGCTGGTAGAGCTCAAGGGTATCACCGTCATCCTTGCCTTCCTCCTCCTGCAAGAGACCCTGGCTGTCACCAGGAGAAACGAGGGTGGGCTCTGTCCCCATGAGCATTAGGACCCCAAAATCCAGCACTCACCCTCGCCACGGCCACCGAGGCCATCTCCAGTGCAGTGCAGAGCCGTGGCTTGTCCTTGGCCATCTCTGCAAGGAGACAGATGGGGAACACCTTCAGCCTGCTGGGAGACCCCACAGGCAGATCCCCACCACGCACGCTGGCTCGGCCCCATAGAACACCTTTGAGGATCTCCCTGGCCGGGTTTCCCTGCTGCAGGAGGTTCTTGCTTTTGGAAGCTACCAGCACCTTCAGCTCCTCTGCTCTTGAGATGTACTGCCCCACCTGTGGCAGTGGGGCCGGGTGAAGCATGGTGCCACGGGGACACCCCAATGGATGGTCCCTCCCACCCCACACTCACCTTTGCCCGGATGGCTTCTTTGCGACGAGCGTCGCTTTCATCTGGGGGCAAAAGGGGGTCCAACATCAGGGGTGGGAGCTGCAGCACATCCTGGGGGTGCCACAATCCCACACCCAACCAGATGAGCTCCATCCTCTGCCCCTTTCTGTCCACTCAGGAACACGGGGACTCACAGTGCAGAGCGGGCACAAAGTACTCCAGAGCTTTGCAGTAGAGACTGAGCGCAGCAGACGCATCCCCCTCCTGATCCTTCTTCACCGCCTCCACCACCAGGTTGGTCTGGAGGTAATGAGGGCTCAGGACCAGGGTTTGGGTCCCACCACATCCCATCCATCCACCCATCACTCACCGCCTTGCAAAAGCTCTCAGGGCCAGGCACGTGCTCCATGTCCACAAAGGGATGGGCGAAGAACTCCTCGAAGGAGATGCGCTTTAAGGGGTCCCTCTCCAGGAGGCGCTGCAGGAGATCTCGGCACTCCGGGGACAGCAGGGGTCGGCTGGGCAGCTGGGCAGAGACAGCGGTGGCACCGGGTGGCACAACACAGTGGGGCCCTACCCTGTGCCATCTCAACGTTACCTCGATGGCTCGGTCACTGCGGATCTTCTCCTCCAGCTCAGCAAACGAGCGGGAGGCAAAGGGGGGTCGCCCAAAAAGCGCCTCTGCAAAGAAGAGAGCGGTGAGGGGGTCACTTTGGGGAGCACCCTGTAGTCTTCTTGGTCCCACCAGGGGGGACGTCAAGCCAAGGGTCCCATGGCTTTTCCCTCTGCCCTACAGTGGACAAACAAATGTCCATAGTGGACATGACCAGGGTAGACATCATGAACACAGTGGACATTGCCATGGTCAACATCATTATGGTAGATGTTAACATGGCAAATGTCACCCAGCACCCATAGGGCTGGAGTGTACCCACATCAGGATGGACCCTTCACAGAATCACAGAATGGCCAGGGCTGGAAGGGACCTCAAGGATCACGAATCTCCAACCCCCCTGCTACATGCAGGGCCACCAACCTCCTCATTTAATACCAGCCCAGGCTGCCCAGGGCCCCATCCAACCTGGCCTTGGACACCTCCAGGGATGGACGGGGCATCCACAGCCTCTCTGGGCAGCTGTTCCAGCACCTACCACTCTCTCTGTAAAGAACTTCCCCCTGACATCCAACCTAAATCTCCCCTCCCTCAACTTCAAACCATTTCCCCTCGTCCTGCAGTTATTTACCCTTTCAAAGAGTTGATTCCCCTCCCCTCTGTAGCTCCCTGATATGGCTCCACAATACGGTCTGTCCAGGTGCACATGGTCTCCTACCCACAATGGGGTTGGTCCCCACCTTTTGGGACATTGGGGTGCTAGGGGATTATAGGGTGTAGAGAGATGGGTGCACAGAAGAAGGACCCACCATAAAGGATGACGCCCACTGACCACAGGTCCACCCTGGCATCGTACTGCTGGCGGCACACCATCTCAGGGGCCATGTAGAGTGGGGAGCCTCGCAGCACGTGCTTCTCATCCCATGGTGACATGTACTGTGCGAAGCCAAAATCTATGGGGAAAGCACGGTCAGGGATAACCCACCACCACCCCATAACATCCTAGGGCCAGGGACCTGACCTGCCAGCTTCAGCTGGGGGTTCTCCGGGGTGCTGAGCAGGATGTTCTGTGGCTTGAGGTCCAGGTGGGAGATATTGTGATCGTGGAGGAACTTCAGGGCGCAGGCTAGAAAGGTAAGCATGGAGGTGGGATGCTGGCACTGACACCAAGAGTCCCAGTGGTCCTCATCCCTCAAACCCACATGGTCCTCACCGAGCTGCTGCAGGAAGATACGTGCCACCTTCTCAGGCAAGATCCGCCGCATACGGATGAAGCGGGAGAGGTCCCCACCAGCACAGAACTCCATGATCAGGTAGATGTGGTCACTGTCCCACTGCAAGACGACCCAGCTGGCTTCACTGCATCACACCAGAGCCCAAGGGGCCACGAGCCGACCCACCGCCCCATGGGACCCTCAGCCCCACAGGAAGCTCCAATCCTACAGGATGCCTCGAGTCCCATAGGAATTTCCAGCCCTATGGAACCCCCCAACCCTATGGGAAGCCCCCAGCATCATGAGATACCCCAACCTTACAGGATACCCCAGCTCTATAGGATTCTCCAGCCCCATGGGGTGCCCCCAACACTATGGGAAGCTCCAGCCCTATGGGATCCCCCAGCCCCATGGGGATGCCCCTAACCCCATGGGACCCCAGCCCCATGGGATGCCCACGACCTCACAGGATACCCCAGCCCTATGGGAAGTTCCAACCCTATGGGGTGCCCCCAACACCATGGGAAGCTCCAGCCCTATGGGATGCCCCCAGCCTCATAGGATACCTCAGCCCTACGGGAAGCTCCAACCCTACAGGATCCCCCAGCCCCATGGGATGCCCACCACCTCACAGGATACCCCAGTCCCACAGGAAGCTCCAGCCCTATGGGATGCCCCCAGCCTCATGGGATACCACAGCCCTACCGGAAGCTCCAACCCTATAGGATCCCCCAGCTCCATGGGATGCCCCCAGCCCCACCTGGAAGTCCTTGAGCTCCACGATGTGTGGGTGCCGGATGGTCTTAAGGATCTCGATCTCAGTGAGCAGGTTCTCCACCGAGGCCCTGTTGAGGCTCCTCTTGCTCACACATTTGACAGCCACCACCTCGCGCGTGTCCCTCTGCCGGGGGACGAGCGGAGACCACCGTGGATCAACCCCACACCCTACAAACCTCCGAGATTCCGCCCTCCCCAAACGTAGGATCTCAAGGATGGAGAGCCCGCAGGGTGCAAAGCTCCGTGGTCCCGCACCTTGCTGTATGCTTTGTACACCGTGGCGTAGGTGCCGGTGCCGAGGCGCTCGGTGAGCACGAAGCCTTCCAGGCGCGGTGGGGCGCAGCCCCCCCCGGCCATGCCGCCCAGCCGCCCGGTTCCGGCTTCGGCTCCGTCCGCAGCTCCGCCCCGGCAGGAAGGGGCGGGTTTCGCTGCCCACGGTGTTTCTCAGCTGGGTCACTGGGATAAGAGGCAGGCTGGTGGAGCGTTTATTTCCTTCTACCG